CCAGGGGCGCGGCCAAGGAATGCGCGGATACAGACAGGAGGCGGCTGTGTTGTAAGCAGTTTTTCAAAAAGCAACCCCCAGGCCCAAGCTTGGACCCCTACAGCTCCACTCTAGAGTCTCCCCGCGGGCGGGCGCGGCCCCTCGGGGTCGACGGAGACGCCCAGACGCGAAAGAAAGCGCGAGATTTTTATCCCCGGCCCGGCCCTCCCCCACATGGAACACCCAGCCCCCGGGGGGGTGGGGGGGGCTTGGATTGGTGTGTGTGTGGCAAAGGCTGCCTCGGCACGAGGCAGCCCCACCCCCCCCCGACCCCCCGACCCCCCCCCCACCCCCTCGGGCCCTGCATGTCCCATGTCGGAGAGCCCCGCCTCGCCGCTAAACCTCTCCCGCTTCCTTCCGCCTCTGCTCGTCTCCCTCGACCCCGAGGCACCGCTCACGCCCCCCTGCCGCGAGCAGGTCGGCGAGCTCTCCGGCCAAAAGGACTCGATCCAGTCCGACCGCGAGCTCAAGGGCAAAATCTCGAGCCTGATCCAGGAGCTGCGGAGACACGTGGGGCAGCACATCTCGTCGTCGCAGAGCATCACCGACGGGCTCCGCCGGATCCTCACGCCACACCAAGTGGTGAGGGCGGCTCGCCTCCCCCCTCCCCCCCCCAGCGCCGCCCCTCACAATCACTTCCCGACTTGCGCTCGCAGGCCAAGTTTCTGGTGTGGGTAGAGCGGAACCAGCGCTCGATGGACATGCTCAACACGATGTTCTCGGAGGACGTCGAGTGACCACGTGCATCCCTTTGCCACGCTGCGCGTGCACACTATGCCGCCGCTGGTCGCCAAGGGCACGGGACGCCCGCAGGGCTGATGGTGCGCTTTAGGACTCGTGCCCCTCGCGCTCTTCTCTCGGACGGGATGAACGACCCTCCAGCTTCGCCGGATGATCGCGTGCATGTAATGTATGCAGTATGGACAGCAGCTCAGCAGCTAGTGTGGTACTTACGGGCTCTGTCTCCGTCTGGTCGTGGGTAATGTGGCTCTTTGCGCACGCCGCACAAGGAGCGTCGATTTCACATTACCCACGACCATTCGCGTCCCGTGCTCCTCTCGCGCGGTACATTGTCCGGCCCTCTGTCGCTCTGGCACACCGATACAATTTTCAAATGACAGTAGTCAGTACCCCCACAAAATGTCAGACTCGCGGGCTCGTGTCCAGTCCGCCCGACCGCCCCCGTGAGCATGCGCGCGGTGAGCCGGGGGCGAGCGCAAGAGTTCCTTGGCACGCGTGCCGCCCGATGCGCGCGCCCGCCGGAGGTGCCTGGGCGTCCACTCTGCACGCGCCCCCCCTCTGTGTGCGGAGATGGAACACAAAACGCGGGAGGACGCGACCGGCTCTCGCGCGCGTAAATACGTACGATCGGACGTGCGCGGGCGCCTCACTTGCTTCCGGCCCGCGCCTCGACGGCGGCGAGGATCTGACCGCCGAGCGCCTTGGCGAGCTTG